GCTGCTCATTTCATGCCTTAACTCTTAGAGCCAACTTCAGGTGTCAGTGTTTAGGGATATATTTTGTACAAGACAAGACACTGGGTGGCGTTCTCTTTTGACTGTGTACCACATAATCATTTTGCTCTTTTAAAATCTTATTTAAGAGTTACCTTGTAAAGGTAGGTTTTCTATTGTGGTTTGTTTTGGTGTTGGTGGGGGGTTTTTTGTTTGTTTGTTAGAAGTTTTGGGTTTTGGGGTTTTTTGAGTTTGTTTAGGTTTTGGGGGGGTGTGTGTGTGTGTTTTTTTGAACTGAAGTTACCAATTTGTTCAGCCTGGAGGATTAATTCCCCCTGATGCTTTGATTTGTGTCGATTGGTGGAGATCCCGTGTAATAGCAGATCCAGTGCCGGCATAGACCTCACTGTTGAGTCTTGCCACAGCTTGAAGGCCATGCAATCACTAGGAATGCTTCAGAGCTCATGATATAAATTACAAGCAATTAGAAAAATGTCACCTTGACATAATGTTGTGGGAACAAAATATTAGAGCAAATGAGGATCTTTTAGTTCTGCAGAGTGAAGGAATGGTAGATGGTAAGAGGCAAACTGTCTTATTTCATAGATATGACAGCATCTAAGAATTTATTTTATTTATTTTGGGGGAGAAGGAAGGCAGCATTTTGGAGCCAGTTAATCAAAAGTTTCTTAGTTGTTTGAAGATTTTTCAAAGTTTTGTTATGTCACAAGTGGAAATTAATAAACTGAGTTTTGCGATGTTGTACTGGGGTTACATGTGCTTTTGTGAATTTAACTTTTATAGAGAAGTCTATGTGTCATGCTTGTCAAATGTCTACTGCTTCAGTTCTCTTTTTCCTTTAAACACAGCTGTTGGAGCTGTTTGACAGCGAAGACCCTCGAGAACGGGACTACCTAAAAACAGTCTTGCACAGAATTTATGGCAAGTTTCTGGGTCTTAGAGCATTTATCCGAAAACAGATTAATAATATTTTTCTACGGTAAGTTGTGGGAGAAGGTACTTTTTGCTTATGAACGTTTTGGGAAACTGATATATTACTTATATTTAACTTTTCTTTTTTTAGATTTGTTTATGAAACTGAACACTTCAATGGCGTAGCTGAACTGTTGGAAATTTTAGGAAGGTAAACGAGTCTTTATTTATTATCTGAAACTTCCCTTGTGGACACGTCAGAATAGTCTTGGATTCAGAAAAACCATTACTATAAACCCTGATTCTGAAAACAGATGTGCGCACATGCTCATCTTTAAGCCCACGTGCAAATCTCCGTCACGTATTTGCCAAGAGTGTTTAACTGGATGCATGATACAGCCAAAATAATTGGATTGATTTTGTGTGTACTTGTGTGTTAAATGCACTTCATCCTTACACGCTGCAGAAGTTGTTTTTTCAGCACACTATCAGTGTGAATATTTTGAGTAAATCTAATTCTAATACATTAATTACTTAAGAACACCTGGTTTACATGAGTTTACAGACCACATACACAAGCTCTTATCTGTTTGGCAACAGGTTTGTGCAGCTGTTTATATGATTATTCCAAAGTCGGAGCTGAATTGCAACCTAGATATATACTGCACTGCTAATACAAAGCAGGACAAAAGTCAGCACGTGTTTACAAATGGCATGAGCCTGCTATTTGTAAATGGGTGCTGACTGCTATATTATTTTAATCTAGAAAGTGCTTGTTCAGACCTCAAGAATGTTTTCTGCGATAACACTAACAAATATTTCTCTTCTAATTTCTAGTATTATCAATGGTTTTGCTTTACCTCTTAAGGCAGAGCATAAACAGTTTCTGGTGAAGGTGCTGATTCCTTTACATACTGTCAGGAGTTTATCACTCTTCCATGCACAGGTAGAAATTACACAAATATTTTCTGCTCAGAATTTTTTTTTTTATGAGTGCTTTGGAAATTTAATTGTGTAGCACATAAAAGGTGGGGGGAAAGTTTTGAAATGTGGAAAAAATGAAATAGATTAATTTAGTGTGCTTTGTACGATAAATGTCTTGCTTCTGTTCTGATTAGATAATTAAGAGTAACATACATCAGTGATACTTTTGGGATTTTGTTTAGTAGTTAAACTCTCTCTTTAGGTTTTCCTTTCTGCTGTTTTCTCATTCTCTCAATTTTGC